CTTGTAAGGCATCAAAATCGAAATGAATTCGTAAATCTTTTCCATGCACGATGCCACTCCACGGCAACATCTGTATGTGCTCTGCCATATCGCCTCATCGACTAGCTGGCTGCAAGTCTGGAAGTGTTCCAAAACGATTGCCGTTTTGTGTTTGTCTTAGAAAAAAATTTAATGCGGTCACTGGCTTTTTGACACGCCGCAAACTATTTTCGAATTCATATTCATAGTGCTCGCTTATTTGCCGCTGCGTTTTGGCCAATGCTGCTGTTGTTGCTACGTTTGAAGTGGGCCCGGCTGTGTAGCATCCTTCAACATTTAGCCGCACGTTTCTCTGTTGTTATGTAAATTTTGTGGCACTTTTTATTACCATCGCTATGATGCTGCTGTCGATGGCAAGAGAGATGATGACGATGATGCTGATGGGCAAATTATTATTGTTTTTCTAGTGTCGAGTGGGGCAGCCACTTTCCATGGCTCGGAGCGATCTGCAGCGTCTGGCCAAAAACCAATAATAAAACGTCAAGCCGCACTTTGACAACTTGCAGCAGACATGGCAGGAAACCCAAAAACAAGACACCAGGAACGGAAGAGATGAAAAAATTGAGCATAAGTAATGCAACGTCTCGTTCTAACTTGGCCACCAAGCTGTGGCATGATTCTGGCATCTTAGAGCAAAGGTTGCAAGGATATTGCCGACCAAAAAGTTTGTCTAGTGGGTGATTTGCAGCAGCTCAAGAAAAAAGTCTCCCTTTTTACTTCAATTTTTTATAAGAGTTTCTTTTCCATGCTTTTTCCTTGCTTTTGGTCATATTTCTTCGTTCCAACCAACTCTGTCTGCTATTTATGTAAGCTTGCACATCTGTTTGTCGAGTTGAGCAGCTTAAAGCTATCGGACCAGCGTATCGGTCATAAAACTTCGCATTAAAGGCGTGCGAATACTGCGGCTCAAGTGTTTTCCCGCTCCCATCATCCCTCTATTAACGCTTGCCATTGCCCAAGTGTCAAGTGATAAGCGCCGAGAGTATTGTGGGTTTCTCGAGAGTGCTCGTTAAATTGTACGAACGAGTATATACGAACACACTTAGTCAACTCTAGGGGCGTTTTGGATTGGTTTGGCGGATCTGTCTAGGTCAATGCAAAAATCAAACGTGCCACAATATTTGCTACCTGCCAGTGTCCACTTTGTTTTGTGTTTAGCTATGTTGAAACAGTGAGCCCTTATGCTCATTAGCAGGTACAGAATACAACAAACCCTTAAACCTTTAGGGACTGATCAGACCATCAAATACATGAGTTTCAATGTTTGAAGCAGTTTCATTTTAGTTTTTTGTTGAGCAAAACTTAGTCTTAAGTTTGATTGAAACCAACACGCTTGTACCAAACTCATAAAACAAAACTACTGAACTTCTCTACATACGAAATACGAATGCCAAAGCCTGTTGTGGTAGGTCTGGATACTCCATTCTTAAAATGTGTACACATCGACAAAGCTGGTGAGGAATTTCAATAAAATAATAAAACAATAAAACTTTATAAATTCAAATCAAACTCATCATCAACCTATAACTGGTGAACGGAATATTTTTTAACTTTATATAAGAAAATACCATTTGTGGAGTAAACTTTCTTCAAGTCTTAATTAAGTTTTCAATTTACATATATTAAAAACATGTATAAACATTGTGAACCAGTTTTTTTTTTTTTGAAATTAGCTTTAAAACCCAAAAATAATTTCAAAGCCTTGTTTAACTTGGATCTGTAAATATGTTGCAGTTGGGGTTGCTCCGATGCGGTGACTCAAATTCAATGAGATAATGCAGTGTTGGCCGAGTTCTTGACTAATTTTTTACAAATTTCTAGCTGTCTAAACGATTCTTTGCACATACTTACATACATACATACATACTTGTAGACCTCTCACTAGTCACCCGTGCAGACTTAGACGCAGTACGAATTAAGTCGTAGTACAAACGAGCCACTCGTTTTAAGTGCCTTTCAGGACATACGCACAGCAGGTTGTCGTTTGCACTCTGACCATGACCAAAAGGATACACACACTCACTTATATCATGCTGTTTACACTGTGCGACAAGGTTGCGCACAATTTTGAAGCACTCAAACCTACATTTCGGTTTATGGCATGTTAAGCGCCCCATTTTTATGAGCGTTTCGCACTCATCTCAGACAACTGACTGCCTAAATGACTGTCAGCCGTGTAGGCAAATTTTCGTTTGCGTGCGTTTGTGGTATTAGCCCTAGGGCTCAACCACCCTAGCATTTAGCATAGACATCGCTAATAATATTATAAATATTTCTCGCTTTGCTTTTCATTTCATGTTTTCTGATGTGGCAGCAGTTTTTTTTCGAGTATTTTTTGCTACTTTGCCACAACGTAAATGTGTCTCAATTCAATTAATTCAAAGCATTAGGCGTCGCCCAGGAGCCCAGTATGGCAATTTTGTGGTCCTGCTATGCTATAAATTTGTAATGTAGCGGTTTATGCGTAAAACAGTGTGGGTAATGAAATTTTAATTGCCTGAGGTTTCCATAAATTGGCCAAGATTTTCAAATATGCGACTAGGTTTTTAGTGAAGTTTTCAACAGACTATTAATTATGAATTGTGGTCGTGCCTGTAGAGTAAAATTTCACGAAAATGAAACAAAATAACACATATATTTATATGTATGTATTCAAAAATATTTGCAATGAGCTTTTGACGAGAGTGCAACGAACCGTGAGCAAAAATTTCTGGAAAAATTACGGCGAAACAAATGATGATGAAAAAACAAGGCGGTGCTCTATGTGTCGAGGGCATGAAAAAATGGAAATTTGTGAAAAGGCAGCGTCGTCGCGTCGTCAGCTGTACGGTCGACGTTGCTCTTGAGCTTGAAAGGCCGGGCCGGGCTGGGCGACCGACAGACCACCAGACAGGACTCACTCGCCTCTCGTCTGTCCGACAATTACTTCAATTGCAAGAACGTCGAAAATGTAGCAAACAAAACCATCATAGCACAGAAAAAAAATGCGGGCGAAATTTATGGCAGCGAAATTGAAACTTCAACTCAGACATTGCCAAGAGTACCAACGAAATGTATTTAAGTTTATACTAGTTCTTGAAACTAGTTTCATTTGTCAGTTCATTTTTCTGAACACCACTTGTTCGGCGTGGCAGTTGCACCAAGCTGTAGCTTCAGTTAGAAAGCATTTTATGGATTAGTCACTTTGTAGGTAATTTCTTGTACTTCCACTTTATTTATTCCATGCTTAACTTCTATACACAACTAAAGGTTTAATAAAGTTTAAGTGTAGTTTAATCATGAAACGATGAATGTTTATGCTTTTTGTCCTTTTAGATGTTGATTCCATGCTAAATTTATATTTGGAACTATAGGATCGATAATGTTTTATGGTTTAATCATAAAATTATAAATGCGAATTCATTTCATGCTCTAAGATGAATGAACTCTGTTGATTCCGTGCAACATTTCTATAAAGAACTATAGGTTAATGACGTTTCCTGGTATGTGATATGTTTTAAGCTTTCGTTCATTTGCCTTGTGTTGACTACACAAAATTGGTTGAAAAACTTGATAGCAAGTTCAGATGTACTAGTTCTTCTGTGTGGCAAGGTTTTATTTGTTGCGGCATGTTTGTCTGGGACTGGTTGGCTGGCTATTCGTATGGTCGTTGGATGACTGTTGTTTGTATGGGTCTGCCTGATTCATTGCAAATTCTAGTTAAAATCATAGTTATGACGGTGCTGGCAGCGCAAAGTGTTGTTGATATCTACAATTGTTGTTGCAGACGTCGCCAAGTGCCGCTAAAAGTCTGCCGACTACTGCTGATGCTGCTGACTGTTGCTGTTGGCGCTTTACGTCGACAGATTAACTCATTCATACATTCATGGGCACTGCTCCAACTCTCACTCTGATTCTCGCTCTGGCGCATTGTTGGCGCAGTTTGCTCGCTGCCTTTTATTAAGAATACATACATACACACTTATATGTATATTTTCATTTTTTACGCCATTCTAGCCGTCAAAGTTGCCGTTTTGTAATGCAAAACCAAGCGGCGCAGAAAAACCACAGCAAAAAAAAAAATGTATTTGTGTATATAAAAATGAGAACTTTGTGTGGCTATGAACGTAAAATATTTAAGGTATGTGTATGAGCACACATACATATATACTCAGTCTGGCCTACACACACACACACAAAACACCCATCAGGTTGTAAGTACATACATATGACGCCTTTGTAGTTTGTGCGTCGGCTCGTTTAAGTTTTGAATAGCTGTCTCACTATCGCATACTCTCCAAGAAAACTATACGTACTGAAGATCTTAATATGTACATACATATTTATAAATATTTTATTAAAAATTCAAAAACCGGTATAAATCCTAATAATAAAACTTATTCACACGTTTCGAAGTATTTTTTCAATTTGTTTACAATTTACAGTTTGATGGATTTAAAGTTTGCATATAAACGAATAAATATATATGAACATCTATGTGTACAGTGACAGACAAATATCTAATACCTTAAATATGTATCGCATCTCTCGCAGCTTCTTTTCGTATTTACATATTTTATGAAATAATTAAATCATTTTTTTAAATTGTCTTTTTTTTTACAAAATTTTTGGGTTATGAAAAAGTGGTATTATCATTTTTCATGCTTTTTTACTTATTTTACATATTTGTTTTAGTTTTCATAGAGCTGGTGCACATAATTTTGAAAGAGAGTGTATCTGAAGTGCAACAGCAGCCGGCATGCCGGTTTTGCTTTTTTGAATAGCCTCCACTTTTGTTCATATTTTGGAGTAGCTGCTGCTTCTTAAATGCAACTTTAATTTAACGTCGAGCTGAAGCACAGCGTTGGCAAACGTGTTTTCAGCTTTAAGGCAATTGGCACTCATTTCCGCTACACATTCGGCAAGGTCAGTTCTTCAGTTAAGAGTATTTAGTGTGGTAGCGTAGGAGTATTAACACTTACCTCTTTAGGCAATAAGAACAACAGCAACAACAACGAAAATAGCACTTAACATGTCCAGAGTGTTAAGCGCTGTGCTTTGTGCCCTTAGGCAGCGCTTTATCAACAATGATAAGACGCTTGTAATGTGCGTGTGTGTATGCCTGTGTGTGGTGGTTGCTGCAAAAGTGCGTCGCCCCCTGCTGTAGCTTCTCTTAGGGTCAGAGGGGGATGCAATTCAACTAGAAAGTAGTCACCCGCGCGCTCTCTTTTGTGCAAAACAGAAAGAAATTAATTGATAATTTGTTGTTGCCGCCGTCGCACACACACACAAACACGAATGCAGCAGCAACCGCCGCCGCGGCTTGGAGTTTTATGTGTTTGCTGACTCACTCTAGCGCATGGGCTGCGATGCTTACGCTCGCTGTGGTTTGTTTGTTCTGCTTTGCCTTTGGCTTTGCTTTTACTTTACGCTGCTGCTGCTTTCTTGCACTAGAAGCGTCGCGGCAGCAGCATTTTCATAGCCAAACAACAATTCACTTCTAAAACACATAATTCAATAACAAACAGTTGTTTTTTTTTGGTTAATTGCAATTTTTTTTAGCTTTTGTTGCTGCTTCTTCTTCTGCTGCCTATTCTCGCCTTTGCTTTGTACTGCTATCCTGCTTTGGGCAAGGATATTTTTCTTTCATTGCTTTCGATGGTCGCTCTGAAGCGGATTTAATTCGTAATTTTTCACACAAAATACACACACACTTGCGGCTATGTTTGAAAAATCATAATCATGATTATTATGCTATTTTACTACATTTTTCATTAGTTTTAAACAATTTTCACGCACTGCAATGTCGCGCAGACATCCTCGACGCGTTTGCACAAAAAATGAACTGCGAGAGCGATAGGGATGAGAATGCGACGGCACAATCAAAAAACACCGATAGCTTACATATTGCGATGTATCATCGATAAATACTAAAAAATATACTAATTGGCATCATTTCAGTTCAGTGTGACCCATAACAGAAGGCGGGAGAATTAAAAATGTAATTTCTGAATAAGAGAAACTATTAACAACGGATGCATTTTAATTTTACTGCATTGTTGTGTAAGCAATAAAAATATTTAATTAATTTGTTATATACTAAAGATTTTAAACGACTAGAACAAATTAATGGCTGTCAGATGAGGCTTGGGGTAGATTCAAAAATGAAATGCACAAACTGAAATGTCGGTCGGAAGTTGTGCGACAGTCAAGCAGTGTGAACGATGATACAACAGTGCAATATTGTGGTGAAATATTAACGCTTTTTCAAAACTTCACCACGAAATAAGCTTTTCTTCTCGATAAAGTTTCAACAAACTCCCGCCAAGTGGGGAACATTTTTATTGATAAAACTGTTGGGCTCACAGCAAAAGGTAAAACCAGCCTCTTTGGTGTCCTGCACCGCCAACGTTTGCGGGCATTGGACCCGCTGGCAATGTGGCGGCAGAGGCGCACTTGAATTGTGCACATTATTATAGGTGAGAATTGCGTAGAGACTTTCTTCACCATCGCTAACAATCTTGAACAACCACTTGGGTACGGGATTGACGCGACCTGGGCCCAAGTAAACCGATTTTAATTGGCCATTACTGCTGGGAAGCTGCAGCACATCCAATCCGCCGGTGCAAACCTGGAGCGCCTCGTAGCCTCCATCTGTCAATAGGTTTCGCACCCAATTCTCTATGGTTTTCCAGTTGCTGCGATTGATCGTTCGAAACTTTGCAACCACATTGATGTATTTGAATGTCTGGCGCATGTTCTGCTCGAAAACGTAGTCGGCTGAAGGAGCCAGATGTCCACGATCGAAAACCTGATCTCGTGCAGATTTAATGTAGGTTTGATCTGAACCAAATAGCTCTTTGAAACGGGCGTAAATGGACTTAGCCTCGAATGTAGCTGCTGTGGCGCCGGTTATGACGCCGTCCGTAGTGAAGCCTTGACCCGGACGATTCGCATCTAGCAAAATAATTTATATTATTATTCGAACATTGTCGAATTGTTGAATATTGTAACTAATATTTACTCAGCTTGTAGGGGTAGATCACATGAATTGTATAATGGGCCGTGGCATTGCTAACATCATAGCAGCTGCGATAGACATCCAGAAAACCTTCGTCTCCCAGATCATGCCCCACCCGATACATAGTATGTGGACAGCTGCGATCTGGGATGGCTTCCACGCTTGCTCTCACCGGCTTATTGCAATCGACCATGGGTAGCGAAAGTGTAAAGTTGCCATTTGCTTGACATTTCGTCTGCACTACGTTCTTGGCATCACAGATCATGTCAAGCGTCTGATCCACACGGACCACATCCAATCGTAGCGGATAGTACTGATTCCCCACCCGAAAAGCAAAGATGCGATTCGTTTGACTAATCTGATCAGCACTCAGCTGGCAGTCGGCCTGAGCATAGCCGAGAACTGTAAACAGGTTGACTGAATACGTCATATATAATTAGTCGTTGATCTTTTTGATTAATTTAATGACTACTAACGTAGCACGCACAGCCAGATCGATCTCATCTTGAACACTCGAGAGTAGCGAAACAACTGACGCTTCGTCTAATCACATTTGTTTTCCCACTTCTGCTCTGTGTACAATGACAATTTACTTAGAGCTGTTACTTAAATGAGCGTATCTAAGAGATGAGTAGAATTCGGCAGCTCTTATCTGCGTTACGACCTCTTCACAAATAGACACCAAGTTCTCTCCATCAATGCCACCCGGTATGAATAGATTTGAGAATGGTGTGCTCGGAAATACAATTTGGATGTACTCGCACTTACACTTTAAAAAAAGAATTTCTTCATGCAATAGTAATTGAGATTTATTCAAGCACTTACTGTAGGTGTTATTTATTCATTTATTTTACACACACTGTATCTAGTTCGGGGGTTGAGCCCATTTAAAAGCTTTAAAACAATATGACTGAAGCCGTGGTGGAGGAAATATAATGGTTTGGGGGTGACTTGCTGGATTAACTGGGAACATGGTATAGGAATCTTGTGGAACTCAATTTGAATGCAAATGCCACGAAACTCCTCGATCTCGATCATCGATCAAAACGCGTCTAAGAATGTCTGATTTATCACTGCAAGTAGCTTAAAACACAACGCCCGACATATACCATACGTATCTAAAGAATTCCTGAAGACTGGATAGCTAATCCATAGAATGGAAGAAAGTTTTCATAAAGAGACCAATAATTTGGCATAAAGAATAAGTCGATATCAAAATGTTGAAAATCAGATTCAAATATTTTGAAAACGATAATTTTTGTGATTTCAATGTTATTGTTTTGGAAACATACAATGAAAAACGTAAAATTGTTTCGCTAAAACCTTTTCTTAACATAAACCGATTTGGATGAAGGTTTAAAACAAAAGTAGATATCTCTATAAAAATCTCGTGTGACGGAACTATTGAACCGATTTTTATCAAATTTCACAGTATCTGTAATTTGGTCTAACTTAAAAGTTAGGCTAGTTTTTGTATTAATTATTTATCGTTTGGACTCTGTTTTTCAGAAATGCGTTCGTATTATTTCATTAATATTTATATATAATTTATATAACTCGTATCACTGTTATTTGTGTGTTTTATTTAGGTCTTTAATCCTACCAAAAACGAAACGACGACATTCTAAGAACAACATCTTTCAGGCTACAAATAATTCGTATTCTTTATATATTATTCTTTAGGTATAATGAGAGCTAACTATAAAAAAAGCTGAGCGAAATGTTTTTTGAAACTGATGTTCCTACATGAACCTTCTCAGGTATATACGTTTGTATGTATATAAAAAATAAAATAAACTCAAGTTGCTTGGATAGTAGGAGAGTCTACATATCAAGTTTGATGAATGTGGTGAAAACCGTCTCGGAAATCCAAGCACTCATCCAGACAGACATGGCTATATCGATTCGTCTCGCCATGTTGATAATGACTATTTCTATTTTTCGGGATCCCTTCTTCCTCCTCCGCTTTTTACCCTGCGGGCACAGGGTATAAGACATATCGTAGTTTTTAGAGTTCATTAACTATTTCTACCTTCTAAATTGGCAGTACACTCAAACTATATTTATTTAGCCTTTGCATAAAAGTCCCAGTAATAATTTCAATACCAAACTAAACCAAACCTGGGTGCTTCTGAGGCGCACACAAATTTGCTTGGCCGGGTCATCGCTGATAAGCAGCAACACGTGAGTTTCAAGACAGCCTCTAGCTTGGGGGCCGAGATGGGCGGAGATAGGCGGAGGCGCTTTTCCATAGAAAAGATAGCAACCATGGCCAAGCTCTCGGCGCTTATCTGTTCTCGTTATCAGTCATCGGAAGTGCAGAATGCCGGTTGTTGTGTTTGTGTTTCCTCAAGCACAGCGCTAGAATAACAAAAGGGTTGCTTTTTTCTTTACTTGTAGTATTATTTTGTTGGTATAGGTGTGTTGGGCAACATACTTACATGCATAGGCATGTGCATTGCATTTTGTCATCAGCACTCATAAAAATTGTATCTAAAATTAAATCTCATGAGGTAAACAGAGCATCGTCGTGGGGCGCACTTGAAATGTTAAGCAGAGCTCATTATATTGCAAAATGTGAAGAATCGGAGCAGACTTCGCTATATGTATTGGTTACCTACTTGGCAGTACAGAAAGTTAATAGATAATCCTCCGATCCCTTTCTCTCTGAAAATATGTTTTATAAATATATGCATAAAACTCAAGAGAATATGTTAATCTATGTATGTAGATTATGTAATTTTTCTAATGTTTTGGTAAAATTCAGTCGGATTCGGTAAGTTTCTGTTGGACTGACAACTTTGAAATTTATGCATTAGGGCTATAAATAATAGTTTTGTATTGCCAAACTGTTTTTGCTACTAATATACACAATATGTTTATGTTGAGTCTAGTAGAGGATGATTTGGGCATAGATTTGAATTGCCAATGAAAGCTCTATAAACCTATAAACCAGTCATAATTCCAATTCCATGTCCTCGATTGACATGAAAATTATCAGGTGAGTTGCCAGCATATCAACACGCAAGGTGAGAGGCAGCTTGTGACCAAGATATAGTTAATAGGCAAATAAAACAATGGTTCAACCAGAAAGTGAACCATGGCACAGAAAAAAGTGTTTTGTTTAGATTTACAAAATGTATTTTTCCATATGCCAGTCGAGGGATTGTCACAGAAATACACATCGTCCGTTACCATGTATAGTTTAGTTCATGATTTTATTTTTTTAGTAAGTATATTAAACTTTCCAGCAGTTTTCTCTAGGTTTATACCTACAATCATGCGCGAAATAATTATAAATGGTGATGCGGATTATTATTATTAATTATAATATATGGATACGAAGTATCATTCCCAGCAGAGACGTAAGTGCATGACGGGCTTGGAAAACTTAAAAGAGTGCTTGATGTTGCAATTAGAACTGAGATGTCAGCCGAATGTGGGAATCCAAGATGTACAGAGGCCGTAGCTCACAAGCAGACAGTTGTCAAAAGAATCTCGATTCGATTGCATCGTTAAGCTGTTATCGTTTATAATTTTAGTTAAGCCAATCCATTAGCCACATTTAATAAAGTCAATAAAAAATATCAAATACAAGTATGTACATATAAAAGCAAGAGCATAAACCATATTATTAATGTCAAAGTAAGTGACTTTCGTTTTCACAATTATTGCACGAATTCTGGTTAGTGGGATTTGAAGTATACATGTTTAACTCGCGTGGCGGATTAAATGTATGTGCATCGCAACAATATGTGTATCCTTGATCGGATGCATCGGTGTTATCGAAACCAGGACAACTTATCTCCATGCAAAAAGGTGGAGCAGGTACATTGCCACCGTATATGTTGTTAGAGGTGAGAATCGCATGAATTGGTTGATTGCTTGCGTCTTTGATCAGTTTGTAGGTCCATTCCGGCACTGGTATTTGGTTGCCCCTAAGCAAGAAAGCTGGTTTTAAATTCCCATTCACATCTGGTAGCTTTAGCACTCCTATTCCACCGGTTTCTACCCGCAAATGCGAATAATCTGGTACTTGACTGTTAACCCACTTCTCAATCTTATTCCAATTGCCATCCTTGATACTCTGGAACTGCGGAATAACATTCACGTACTTGAAGGATGCGCACTTCTGATTGCGAAGCAGATATTCAGTTGCGCTTGATAAGTGACCTCGGGTAATAACGATGACCTTGTTGCTGGTTATATAGGGATTGCTGCCATAGATATTCAAGAAGGACTGATAGACGTTTTCCTTTTTATATGCCTCCATATTCTTTGTGGACGCGACTTTTCCGCATTCGTACCTAATGCCAGCATTTGGTCCAACTATAAAATGAATTAAGATGTTTATTTGGCAGCTTCTATTCTTAAACACTTACAGAAAGTACTCTTGTACACGTTATTTTTGGAGAAGATCGCGCGCAGATTTGTTTTGTCGTAACAGGATCTGAAGAGCTCTACAAATACGCCTCTAATCATAACACCAGTAGCAAACATGGTGGCTGGACAGGAATTATCGTTAATCTCTTTGACCTCAGTGGACTTCATATGTTCGCATAATGGTAGTGGTGCCTGAAATTGGTTGTTGTTGCAAGTTAGATGCTTAATGATTCCATTTTTTGGATTCCTGGGGTCGTGACAGTTCATGTAGACTGTACCACCATTGGAAACGACTCCTTGCATATGATCAGCGCCATCAGCATCGCGATATGTTAGAAAGCCAAAGTTTGTGCGTTTGGTTTCATCCCAAGTGAAGTGGCATTGACCGATAACTTGAACGAATAAAAAACTCGAATTGTATCTTGAAAGAAAATCCTATATAGCATTGTATATATACCCATTGCAATAAGTAATAACGACAGTCCAGCTTTAAAATACCAGTGGCCCATGTTGCTTGAATTCACTGTTTCAATTCTAACTGAAAACAGTTTTGCGGAATTGCTTTTATATAGCAAGTGGCTTATCACAATTGCTGACATAAGATCAAGCATGTTTGTGGCGCTAACAGTTGATGTATCAGAAATATCAAGCCACGCCACGATAAAATCCACAATACACATAAAGTACACATTTATTTGAGTCCTCAACTGCCTCAGTCGCTTTTGCATTGCTATTCATGTTATTGCATGTCTATTATTTTTGTGAGCTCCACATTTTTCCACATTTTTCGCTTCATACGTGTATTTTTCGTATTTAATTGGCGCCAATCGGATTTCTATAATGCTTAAAAAATGTTTTTGTTTTATTTAATTCATTTAATTTCATATTTGGTTTTGTATTCTTAATCAGTTCATCTTTTTAACAACAAGCTTCTCTGAAATTAAAAAGTATCTTCTATTGTTAAATAAATATTAGAACTTACAAGTAAATACGATTTTTTAATCGTGTCAAGATCAGAAGTCAACTGACCGTAACTAGTTGTATTCAGATATTGTCTTAAAACTGCGTTTTTACTTTATAAGTTTTAAGGCCTTTTTTGATTTCATACAGTTTAAATATTATAGCCCAACTAACTAACTTAAAAGATAAGAAAACCTAACACAAAGCTGTACAATGACGTCTATTAATGCCTCCGACACGTTGGGGGAATTTTATTTGCAAGTTGGCCAGCTATGCCCCGATTCACAGCCATATGTGGTCAGAGACATTAAAGACCTAAAAAACTATACAAAAAGTAGATAGAGGTGGAAAATTAATTATATTTAACAACTAATTAGAAAAAGTAGGAAGTAGAACGAAAAAGAGAAAGAGAAAAAGAGAAAAGAAAGATGGAAAGAGAGATAGAGAAACAGAAAAAGAGAAACGTGGAAAGAGAGAGACGAAAAGAAGAATAGGGAAATCTCCGGACCTAGGAGAATCTGGATGACAACTTTGGTTATTCTAGCTTTTATAGTTTCTGAGATCCTCGCGTTCATCCAGACGGACAGACGGACGGACATGTCTAGATCGATTTCTCTCGTCATGCTGATCAAGAATATATATACTTTATGGGGTCGGAGATGCTTCCTTCTGTATGTTACATACTTTGCACAAACCTAATATACCCTTTTTACCCTACGGGTACAGGGTATAAAAATGTGGTGCCTCGGCCTTTTCAGTACCATACATGTTGTTGTATACAAAAACCGCGTGAAGTGGGTTATTTTTTATACCCTGTACCCAAAGGGTACAAGGGTATATTAGTTTTGTGCGAGTGCACATGGAACACACAGAAGGAGGCGTGGTAGACCCCACAAAGTATATATATTCTTGATCAGCATGACAAGCTGAGTCGATATAGCCATGTCCGTCTGTCCGTCTGTCTGTCCGTCTGTCTGTCTGTATGAACTCAAGGATCTCCGAAAGTATAAGAGCTAGAATAACCAAACTTGGTGTACAGATTTTCCTGAGGACGAGTTTGTTCATTTTTTCTGATCCACCCCCCCACCCCCCCTATTAACGATTTTCTATTACTCCCGTAATTCTTGGAATTTTGAACTAAAATTTGGTAGTCACATTAGGTTAGTGATTATATATCCGTATACCAGTTTCATTATGATAGAATGATCGGAAAGAAAGTTATAGCCATATAACCAGGCCCAATGCATACATACATACATATGTACAAGTACACAAACACGCATAAGGCACGATTCTCATGTAAATGTAAATGTTTGTATGCATGCATGGAATATTTTATATTTAATTTAGTTAATTAATTAAATTAATTTAGTTAATTAATTTAATTAAATTACTTTTTTGTGGGGTGGTACAGTGTATTTAAGAGTTGAGCCTGCTCGTCTTTAGCATTCCTTTCTTGTTTCATCTTTAATTATTTTGTATATCCATTCTGGTACTGGATTTTGGTCAACTCCGAGCAGGAAAATTGATTTTAATTTCCCACCTTTCCCTGGTAGCTTCAGCACTCCTATTCCACCGGTTTCTACCCGCAAATGCGAATAATCTGGTACTTGACTATTAACCCACTTCTCAATCTTCCTCCAAACGGTAAGAGCTAGAAAGCTGAAATTTGGGGTCAAGTATCCTATCATAGTGTAAATGTGCATTAGCTCCAAAGGGGGGAAAACGAGCTTTAAAAAATATTAGGTATAGTGGTCATGTTCGTTTAACGAAATAGTTTGGCAAGAACAAAAATGTAAAAAAAAAATGTTGAGAAATTTTTTGTCAAGAACAGAAAATGTTCATTTAAATACCTTAAATGCCTTCCTACTGGTAACTTATAAGGTGAAAACATATGGGTAGGTTATGCACACACAAAATAGATACAATTGGAAACATTATATTGAGCCGGGTTAAGACGGGCAATACTTGCTAGTCTGTAATAAACATATTAATCACTTACAGAACCCAATCTTGTATACTTTGTTCTTGGAGAAAAGTGTTCTATGATTTTTTTTGTCATAGCATGACCGGAATAGCTCCACAAATACGCCTCTGATCTCAACACCAGTAGCAAACATGGTGGCTGGACAGGAAGAGTCTGTAACTTCTTTGAAAATAGAGTTATGTACATGATCACATAGTGGGAGTGGTCTTGGTTGGAATTTATTGTTGCTGCAGATTATTTCCTTAATAATTCCTTTTTTACGATTCTTGGGATCGTGACAGTTCATATAAACTGTAGTACCATTGGAAACGACTCCACGGCGTTGCATATGATCAGTGCCATGAGCATCGCGATAGGTTAGAAAGCCAAACTTGTCATTTTTGGTGTCCTCCAGAGTGAAATTACAAGCACAATTTACTTGACGAACTAAAAATACATTTTAATGCGTCCCATACAATATCCCATTCGTTAACTTACTTAGTGCAAGAAGCAAGAGCCATCGTGCCATGCTGCCCTTGATTTGAAATACATATGTGCTGCCCGATGAATGACTCGTATTTATATTGGAAGGGGCGACAATGCAACGCGGTGTTATCGCCTCTTCGCTGTTATAGTCATACATTTGGGGCTTTGTAATATACAGTGAGAACTCTTTCTTTTCACTGTACCCTTCCACCATTCGCTTTGAGAACTATATATGTATGTACAAGTATGTTACATGTCTTACAAACGCAATTGTTAAAAGTTATTTGAAATGACACAGGGTGACTTGAAAGGCTCATGCTCAGTATGCATTGATACACAATTGAAGATATACAACGTGGATAATAAATGTAATAAATTGTACAAAAATTCTAAGCATCTCGCCAGCGATTTCGAATCGGGAATGGTTTTGCTTAGTGAATAAAAAAAATAAAACTCCTCAATATGAAAATGGCCCTCCTGTATTAACTTTGTCTACTTCTCCAGGCAATTTATATATTTGATTCGTCCGCCCCTTTGTCTTCATCTGTTGAAGTCTCAATGACCCCGGTATTTATTCCACCTGATGCCAATGAATACACATTAAAAATTGTGTGAAATTTTAAAATTGGATTCACAATTGAATTGATTGTAGCCTAACAATGCTTTGCATTAATTATGGTTATTAGTTTATAATACATATTTATACAGATTATTGCTTTTCAGTGAGCTCCACCCGGCCGAGTTCGGGAATTAGGACGTGATGGTGTTTTAGAGACTGTAGGTGGGATTAGCTCGCGCGGTGGATTAAATGTACGTGCATCGCAACAATATGTGTATCCTTGATCGGATGCATCGGTGTAATCGAAACCAGGACATCTTATCTGTGTGCAAAACGCTGGAGCAGGTATCTTCTCACCGTATTTGTTGTTAGAGGTTAGAATCGCATGAATTGGTTGATTTCTTGCGTCTTTGATCAGTTTGTAGGTCCATTCTGGCACTGGTATTTGGTTGCCCCCGAGTAGGAAAGCTGGTTTTAAATTCCCTTCCACATCTGGTAGCTTTAGCACTCCTATTCCACCGGTTTCTATGCGAAGATACGAATTGACTGGTACTTGACTGTTAACCCACTTCTCAATATTCTTCCAATTGCCACCGTTAATGCTCTGGAACTGTGGAACAACGTTCACATACTTGAAAGATGCGCACTTCAGATTGCGGTACAGATATTCAGTTGCACATGACAAGTGACCCCGGGAAATAGCGATGGTTTTGGCGTCGGCTATATAGCGATTGCTGCCATAGATATTGAAGAAGGTATCATAGACCTTTTCCTTTTTATATGCCTCCATGTCCCTCGTCGGTACGACTTTACCGCAGTCGAAGCTAAGATTTGGATTTGGTCCAACTAAATAAATAATTAAGATGTTTAAATATCGACTATTGTTTTTAAACACTTACAGAAAGTATTCTTATAAACAATGTTTTTGGAGAAGAGAGCGCGCAGATTCGATTTGTCGTAACAGGATCTGAAAAGCTCCACAAATTGGCCTCTGATCTCAACTCCAGTAGCAAACATGGTGGCTGGACAGGAATTATCGTTAACCTCTCTGACCTCAGAGGACTTCATATGTTCGCATAGTGGTAGTGGTTTCTGAAATTGGTTATTGTTGCAGACTACATCCTTTACAACACCGGTTTTTGGTTTCTTGGGATCGTGACAGTTCATGTAGATTGTAGCACCATTGGGAACGACTCCTTGGCGTTGCATGTGATCAGCGCCGGCAGCCTCGCGATAGGTTAGAAAGCCAAACTTAGAAGATTTGGTCTCATCCAAAGTGAAGTGACATTGACCGTTTACTTGAGAGAATATAAAATACATAGCTAGTGAGAATTGTTTCTCTCCACATGTATATGTATATAGTACCCAGTGCAAGAAGCAATAACGACAGTCCAGCTTCACGATACCAGTGTCCCATGTTGCTCACAATTCCAATTCCAACTAAAAGCGAAATCCGTGAATTCGCTTTTATATAGCAAGGGCTTTATCGCAATTGCTGATATACATATATTTGTAAGTACGAGTACTGACAGGCGCTATCAGTAGATGTGTTTTGCCAAGAATAATATAATCCACGCTTAATAAAATCAAATAATACATAAACATACATAGAGTCATAAAAGCGCGATTGCAATACTATATGTATTTCAATTATGTATACCAGATTTAATGAAGTGGCGTGTGTAGTAGGTTTTTTAAAAAAAAAGGAAGCTGCTGAGGCGATAAGGAAAATATTGCAATTTGTAATCGTAACGTCCCCATGTATACGTACGTATATGTATAAATGTTTTAATGAACAGCATTAAAGGACCCCTTTGAAGACCCTGGCCCTGTAGGGTTTCCCCGCTTTTTTCCTCCCAAGCAAAAGAGCTTTTCTTTTGTTTGTTTTGTTTTGTTTTATTTATTATTTTTATTACTGCTTGTTGTATTAAACCTACAAGCAAAAGAGTGAGTCAGAATAACATATACTACTCTGTTGGAGCACCCTACTTAGCTTCTAAGCCTTTTCTTTGCGCTCTCTATCGCGCCCTTTACTGCGATCTCTGTGGCGCTCTCTTTGTGCATTCTTTTTCTTATGCCGGCCCGCTGACTTGTAGCGGCAGCAGGCAAATCACTTGCTATCTAATTCTCGCATATTTAACATCGTTTTGCACAATTACCAAGCCATTAAAAGCCATTTTAATAATCAAAGAACACCGCGTCTCATTTAATAAATAGTTAAATCTTGTTGTCGTTTCGCTAAAAAGCTAGCGATTTTTCATTGGCGCCCGAGCAGGGACATCGGTTTTCAGAAGATTATTTCCTCGTTTGTTTGCGGTCTTTGTGGCTTGGTTTTTGTGCGCGGTTGTGTGATTACTTCGTTTGATTTGGATCTGGTGTCGTTCGGATACCATATACATACATTTATTTGGATTTGGAGCTTGGTGCCTTTCTGGATATCATCAACTACAACTGCTCGTTTGGACTGTGGAGCTGCTGTCTGCCCTACTTGTGGTACTTTCGTTTGGCTTGGCTAATGAGTGATCGTCGCTCGGAATCCAGGGAAGTTTCGGTGGACTCCTTTGAGAGCTTACAGGTAGACTGTGCCAACAATTGAGCATAAAGCTCTAAGAAGTTTAATTGCTGCAAATTTGTGCAAGAGAAAGGTGCTTAAAACCTATGCTTATGCGGACTCAATTTTTGGCACATAAATTATTTTGTGCAACCACTTTACATGCACAAATACATAATCATACATACATATGCATGTACATACATACTCGCCAATAACCACATATTATATACATACATACGTCATACCTTGCACAATTTAACACATTATACACCCTCATAAACATAATTGTTAACAAAACCTCGAGGCAAAACAAACAACAATAATTAAAAAAGGGCTGTTAAGCTGATTTTTAACATAAAAAACAAATATTTTGAAGTTATTTTGGTTCTATTGTGTTGGTTTTTTGGTGAAGATTTGATGCATCAGCTGCATACATAGAAACATAGCTTTTGTTGTTGCTTGCGCCGCTAGCGTAGCAAAAGAATTTTGTCGCTCTCTCCTTTGTGCGCGCCCTTTTGCGGCTACACTTGTCGCTGGGCCAACGAACTTCCCCCCGCTACCCGTTTGGATTAGCGTTGCCTACAAGCGTGCTTGCGGTAATCGACGCCTATTTTCTGAGTACAGCTGAGACTGCTTGCAGATTTCGTTGTTGTTTGTGCGGTCGCTTGGACTGCTACTTTGCTTGCGTGCATACTGTATTGAGTGCGTATGTACGTAATCTGCGTGCATTTCAGTTTGTCTCTTGCTGTTTTAGCGCGTTGTTATTTGCGAGGGCTGTTAGGAAAATTTGGCTTTCATTTTCTTTGATTTGCAACTTGTTTAGAGTTTATTTTGGTTATACTCTACCATGTCGGAATCTGAAAAGCAACAAGTAGTAGCTAAATCTAGTTCTAAACTAGTACAATGCTTGCAGAAATTTGATAAGGTTAGCGCTGACATTGCTCGTATGAGAACAGCATTTCAGTTAAAGACAATTTCGTTTGAGCAAACAGAACTCGAGTGTCGTCTCGAGCTGTTAGAAGATTACATAAAGAAAGCTATGGCGCTTCAGGCAGATTTGGATAGTCTCAATCCAAGTAACGATAGTAGAGGGCTACTTGAGGATTTGTGCATTTCAACAAAGGCGTTGTATGTGAAGGCAACGAAACAAAAAGTTGAAAGTCAGACTTCTCATGACTGTTCTATGATGGCCAGTCAACGGTCCCAGTTACCCAAAATGCGGCTGCCTACATTCAGTGGAAAGCATGCCGAATTTAAGAATTTTATGTGCTTATTTGAAAGCCTAGTTCATGACGATCCTTCGTTGACCAACGTCGAGAAGTTTAATCATTTGGTGTCGTGCTTGTCAGGTGAGGCTCTAGGAGTTGTGAAACCGTTTCAGTTAACGGACTGCAATTACTTAAAAGCCATTGCTAGCCTCAAGTCTGTGTACGACAACAAATGTTTGATATTTTTCGACACTATCTCGCAATTGTTTGACATCCCAAGTATGACCAAACCTAATGCGTCTACTTTGCGGTCCATCATTGACACTGTTTCTGCCATTTATGCGTCTTTAACTTCGTTGGGAAGTGAAAAGGACATTTCGAATGCAATGATCATACATATGGTTATGGCCAAAGTTGATCATGCAACCAAATCTCGTTTTGAGGAACAGCTCGATTATGACAAGTTGCCTTCTTGGGATGACTGCGCTAAGCAGTTAAACAGGCGTTACCAATATTTAGCGGCTGAAGAGACAACTCGGGTTCCAAATAAACCGCGAGTAGAACCTGCAAGAAATAGTAAAGCTTCGTTTTCTTGCACAAAGGGTCCTTCAAAGCCTTCAAAACCGGTTTCGAAGTGCACATATTGTGGTTCTGCGGATCACAATATTTATTCTTGCCCTTCCTTCGGTTCTATATCTGTTATGCAGCGATTTGAGTTTGCTAAGACTCAAAAAATGTGCCTCAATTGCTTGAATGTGGGTCATGTAGTTTCCAGTTGCAAGGCTTCCAAATGTCGGGTGTGTTCAAAACCACACCATTCGTTGTTGCACAGATACTCTGTAGCTGTGCCAAATTCACCCGCTTCACACGCAGTCGCACCTCCAGAAGCGTACTTAGGTCACGTTTTAAGTGCCGATCAAGTAATTCTTGCCACAGCAGTCGTAAAAATTAAAGACAGATTCGGCCATTACCATCCTGCTCGTGTGTTACTTGATGGCGGCTCACAGTTGAACCTCATGACTGAGAACCTTGCGAAGCGCCTTCGATTAAAGCGTAAAGACACAGCTGTGAGTATCGTAATGGCAGGTGGAACCACTACTGGTAGTAGGCACAAGGTGTGCGCTGATATTCAATCTCGTTTGAATTCTCACAGCTTTGGCACTGATTTTTGGGTTCTTAAATCCATATCAACTTGTCAGCATGGTAACTTCGTGCCCACATCGAATTGGAAAATACCCGCAAACCTTGAGTTGGCTGACCCAGAATTCTATAAGCCAGCCAAGGTTGATATTCTCCTAGGCGCTGAACTTTTTTACAAGTTATTATGCGTTGGGCAAATCGAGCTCAATTCTTGTCTTCCATTGTTGCAGAAGACATTGCTGGGATGGGTTGTTGCTGGAAGATATACAGGGCAAATACCTCCACAACAATTCAGCGTTAACGTTGTCGCTCAAGTTAATGATTGTTCTCTCGACACCTTAGTTCAACGCTTTTGGGAACTCGATCGGAGCCCAAATGAGTCGAAGGCTGTGCGCCAGACAGCTGAACAAAAGGCCTGTGAAGCTAACTTCACCAAATCAGTACAGCGCCTGTCTACAGGACGTTTTCAAGTCGAACTTCCGTTCAAATCCGATCCCGCTGTACTAGGGCTTTCCTTTCAAACTGCTGAAAGACGATTTTTGCAACTTGAGCGCAAACTCGCAAGAGACAAAACTCTCCATGACATGTACCATGACTTCATGAGAGAGTATCGTGATCTTGGGCATATGTCTGCTCTTGAATCTCCTCCTCCAGGACAGCACTACTACATTCCTCATCGGTGTGTCCTGAGACCTGAAAGCACCACAACCAAATTGCGTGTGGTGTTTGACGCTTCTAGTAAAACGTCAACGGCCCTATCATTAAATGACACTTTAATGGTTGGGCCGACTATTCAGAGGGAGCTTTATTCAACATTTGTAAATTTTCGGTTGAATAAATACGCAATTACTGCCGACATCTCCAAGATGTACAGGCAAATAAACGTGTCTGAAAAAGACAAAAAGTACCAGCTCATTCTCTGGCGAGAAAGCGCCTCTCGTGAGCTGCAGTCCTTTAAGTTGAACACTGTAACATACGGGACTGCATCAGCGCCATTTTTTGCTGTGCGCTTGTTGTTTGAATTGGCAAATATTTATGCTCGATGTCACCATGTCGCGTTAAATGTCATTAAAAATTGTTTTCATGGTGACGACATGCTGGCTCCTCATAATGATGTATTTCGTTATCATCTGCATGAGGATAGCTTTACTTCGTTGAAGCCGACAAAGCGGGATATATTATCTCGTTTGTCTGAGCAACTTGGACCTTTGTGCCCCATCGTCATAGCGGCCAAAACTCTGTGGCAAGAGCTGTGGCGATTTAAGATGTTAGTTGGGCTGCTACAGCAACAGATTTGGGTGATAAATACTCGTAGAGTTTGCTCAGCAGTTTTACATAACTGCCTTCGATGCAAGCCCAAGTTAGTTGAGCAAATAATGAGAAATTTGCCAGGTGATCGCCTTCGAGAAGGTCGACCTTTCAGGGTTTGTGGACTCGAACTTTGCGGCCCATTCCATGGTAGCTATCGCATACGTAGCGGTATTCGTTTGTTTTGCCTCGAAGGCCGTTCACCTCGAACTGGTAGCTAATTTATCCACTGATACTGTCCTTAACGTCTTTACAAGGCTCATCGGGAAGCGCGGCCTGCCGGAAATGGTCTTTAGCGACAACGTGACGAACTTCGCGGGAACAAGCGGCTTGCTGAGGGACATGCCGTCGGCTTTCGAGCGGAGAAAGGACGCCCTGACGGACTATGCGGCAGAGCGACGAATCGATTGGTGGTTCATTCTTCCCCGACCTCCTCACATAGGAGGATTGTTGGAGGCAGCGGCGCTGCTAGGCGACCAGTCCACGATGTTGGCGGTGCTCCGTGTGGATTTGAAAGACCGAGAGTCCTTCAAAGGGGCCGGAATGTTGGAGCACCCTACTTAGCTTCTAAGCCTTTTCTTTGCGCTCTCTATCGCGCCCTTTACTGCGATCTCTGTGGCGCTCTCTTTGTGCATTCTTTTTCTTATGCCGGCCCGCTGACTTGTAGCGGCAGCAGGCAAATCACTTGCTATCTAATTCTCGCATATTTAACATCGTTTTGCACAATTACCAAGCCATTAAAAGCCATTTTAATAATCAAAGAACACCGCGTCTCATTTAATAAATAGTTAAATCTTGTTGTCGTTTCGCTAAAAAGCTAGCGATTTTTCATACTCTTTCAATATACTTTACTGTAATTATATCAGAATTACCTTTTAGGTTCTGTTCATGATTCGATTCTACATCAAATAACAACTTAAATCAAATTTCATGTCATAGCTAATGGAGCAGCATTTACCTGGATTGTACAGAATAAAGTCAAGCGTAAATGCGGCCCTCAGACAGAAACTTAAGGCCACCGAAAAATTAGGTATGGTCCCCACCGATCCCCATCGGCTATGAGTAGATTTCCGAAGGTAGACACGATGTCTGGGGCACCAGACCAAGGGGCTGTTTATTTACAATAAAAACTGTAGATGTTTGATTGCATTATGTTGAAGCAATAATGGTAGATTTAGGATACTCTTGCGTCAATACGATTGCCCAACTTCTGCACTGAGCATAATTTGTAAGTGGCGGATAAAAGGCTTATTGCTCAGCATCGAATATTCCGCTATAAATAAATTCTTCAACATGTTATCATAAGATGGCAATAAAAAAAGTGGTCTGCTAATTATAGAGCAGTGGGGCTACTGCTTATCATTGTGATACTTCTGTTTGTGGATTCACAATGCAACAACATTTTATTGTTACGAAATTTGTATTGATTGAGACTTTGCTTTGTTTCAAGCTTTTCAAGCGACGTTTAAAGAAATTCAGCCGAAACAAAGAATTGTTTGCAATTCTGAATATAATTATTTTGAAGTATTTGTTTACATACTTATTTAGTAATGCTAAATAATGCTTATGATGCTGAGTTGTTGGAGTTTTTCATTTTAGAAGTTGCTGCAGATGGTTTTATTCTCTGTGTTTTATATTTTAGTAGAAATGATTGTGCTATAAATAAATCAAATCATTGTATGATCGTTGTTGTTTATTGTTATATACTTGTATTATTATTTGTTTATTTAAGAGATGAAAAAACCTAGACCTTCTGCATGTTGCTACAAATACTGTGCTCTGTCTGATTTAAGGATTGAATGTGGTTGGATTGCAGCAGAATGTATAGCCAGCGGCTGGCCCGGCAGCCAAAGTTATTGGACATCTAATGCTAGTACACCAGCGTGGCGCACGAGGTCGAGTCCTGGCAAATATATTGTTATACACTAAGAAAGCATGTAATGGTCGATTCTGCTCTGTGCGAACTATTTTATACATCCAAAGTGGAACCGGGTTTTTGTTTCCACTGCCAAGAATCACTCGTCGCTGGGTTCGTCCGCTATCGGGTAGAGTTAGAATGCCAACAGCTCCAGTCTTAATGCGCAGAAAACTTTGAGTAATCTGGTTGCGCACATATCGCTCAATAGTCTCCCAATTGCGATCGTTGATTGTCCGAAACTGTGGTACAACATTAATGTATTTAAAGGTGGCACAAGCTTGGTCGAGGTACAGAAAGTCAGCTGAGGGTGTGAGATGGCCACGGTTGAGGACGACATCTTGATTGTTTCGTATGTACCTCTGATTGTTTCCAAAGATGGATCTAAACTTATTAAATATGCTAGCAGTGGTGAACGTTGCAGCATCGGCGTTACTGATTAAATTGTCGGTGGTGAAACGCGTACAAGGACGCGTTAGAACTGAAGAAATTGAATGAACTGAGTAGAGAAGCTTTCTATAAGATGTTCACCTCATACTTACAGAATGATTTCTTATAGACCTGATGTGAGGTGAACAGAGTGCGCACATTGGCTCGATCGTAGCAGGTGCGATACAGTTCCAAGTGGCGGTTGTTGAGAGTGTAGCCAACGGAGTACATGGTGGCCGAGCAGGATCTATCGGTCACGACTTTGGCCGTTGCAGGCATGGGATTGTTACAGCGCTGGGGAAGGGGAGGTTCCGTTGCGGTTCCGTTGACAAAGGCTCGGCACGATATTATTTGGCTGACAGATTAGCTGCAATATTTGAAGAGGCCGTACAGTCTGAACACGCTTAAGCGCAAAGTTTCCAGCAATATCCCGGGTGGTAACAATACGATTTGTGCCTTGAACCATGGCACGAGTTAATGGACAGTTTCCCTCCACCTGTAGAAAAGCTAATGATCCATTTTTGTCTTTGATTTTCCCCAATTCCAATCAATTACTTACCAAGCGCGCAGAGTAATAATACAATATTAATGAAGTGCTGCATTTTGTAAACGTTGCTAGCAACAACTTGTTGCAAATTCTGCGATTTTCTGCTATTTATACTATATTTTGCGCTTCAAGCAATCGCTAGCCTGTATTACGATTTCCGTTTTGTTTAAAATATTATTAAAGGCTTTTATTAAAACTGTGCCATATGTGGCCGACAAAAGAGCACAGTATATGTTTATGCTCTATGGAACCATTGTAGCAACAGCTGCAACCATGCCTTCAGCAGTACCCCCAACAACTACAAAATAATGATGAAGAGCTTATTTGCTGTCCGCTAAAGCTACACAACACTATATTCAAAATTTAATGCGCTTATTATTTCATGAACCTGAAGGGTAAGACTAGGCTGCATGTGACAAGGTACATCCATTTAGAAACGTTTGCTTCGCCATCCAACTGTCTAGAAAAACGCAACGATTTTGGAAGCACCTGAACCGATAGTTAAAAATCTGGTATGAATGTTTTTTCAATTCCTATTTTATTCTTCGAATTCTTTCCCTGCTAAAGAATGTCCTAAGAATTTTCTCTTTTTTCTTTTATATCAATTAGTATATAGTATGGATGTATATGCATAAGTTTTTTTAGGGACAGCGAATTTCATTGGGCATGCTTGACTATTACATTATTTTTATATACTGTGACCAAATGGTTAAAAGGTATGTTACAAAGTCTAAATGACAAATATATGTAACAGCCTGAAGGTGCCGGGGAAGACCCCGTGTTATAGATTCATCTGACTGTCAGTGTGAACATTGACAATTTTCGAGCCAAAGTACCTGGGGATACCAAACTTATCTCTTATCTCGTGTATGATTAATATATTATATATATAGAAAACAGGCTCTTTGTAGGGTAGCTTTTTTGTTTATAAGTGTTTATGCGGCAGCGCGCTGTTAAATACAGTTGAGGCTGCAGCCAAGGCTAACATCTGTAAGCAACTCTGTTAGTTAACAGAGCGCTGCCCGCGCCGCAGCCACTCTCCCTAATAAGTTAAGTAGTTGTGTAAGTCTAAAAAGAAGGAACTTTGTAAATACACGTAGGCAAGGAAGAAGTGCCACTTCTATACAATAAAGATATCTTAACGATTTAATGTACCTGTGACTTTATAGTGTCATAAGCATGAGTGGACCAACAAGATTGATTTCATTTAAATGACTAAGAAGGGTAGGCAAACGGTATTCAGCAGTTGGGACTTAAATTCGTTTTTTATTTGTTTTTTTTTATATATATATAATGCGTAGTAGACAACCACTGCAGCAGCCTTCAGTGGCCGACCGCCTTTCCTAGTAATTTCTGTTTTCCGGCTACCATGTAGCGATACAAGGATTTCCTTCCACATTAGTGCCTACCACTTATTTAACTAGGCTAAATGTTTGCATAGTTGCTTGTGCCAAAATCATGAATTTTTATTGTCCTACATTCGCTACCAAAAATATTTCGCGGTGCTCTACAAATATCTAGCATGCTGTTCAGCATTTTGTGTGCTGCACACGCAGATGCATTTTTGTCCATAGAAATTATTGCTTGAATGCTGTTGAATATCATACAAAATTCCCAACAACAATTTAGATAAATAATCGAGTATATCAAAAAGTATTTACAAGTGAAATATGTTTTTTAATGTTTCTCAAATGTGTACTTCATTATGACGGTTGACATTTGGATCAACTGATTTTTAAATTGACTTCAATAAAGGCTGTTTAGGTTTAATATTTTTTTTTATCAAAATTTAAATTTAATAAATTATTATTTACAATAATTTGTAATTAAGCTGATAGCGACTATCGAATAGCGATAAGGTTAGGGAAAACACAAAATCTGTTTATATCAGATCTAACAATTATGTAAGTTTTATTTAATTAACATTATGTAGTATTAAAATAATCTGAAATACCCCCTAATGTGGGTATTCACTTATATAATTTGAATAAATATTTAATAATCCGGAAAAGTTTAGACAAAGTGAAGAACTAGCAGATGCACTACGAGATCGAGTACCTGGGTAGACTTTTGGACAAGCAGCCACGGCGACATTATCAAAATTTCACTAAATAGGTGATGCGACTGAACCTCTATGAATTGTAATAAAAAACTTCGTAATTGACGTTAATTAAAATGAAATCAATTGATTTCATTAATAATCATCAATCAATTTGAAAAGCATTGCATTATTGTTGGACATTGAGTATACGTTATTGATGGCTAAGATAAGTTATAGTTTCTATATTTAAAAGCCGCCTCGAAATACTAGATGCGTCATTATTGGGCGTAGTTTGAATTGCAGAAACTTGTAAATAACATTTAGGCTTTACGATTGCGGATTACAAATATGTTAGGTATACATATATACAAGTATGTTGTAGTATTTAAATGTATTTTTGTGTGGATGTCGGAATGGTCAGTAAAAAAAGGAGGCAAGGCAACAAAATCAACAAGCCAACCCAAAACCGACACATAAATTAAATTATGCCGCAGTGCCATTCCATGAGTGAAAGAAACGGAATAGGGGAAAGGGTGAGGATGAGGATGAGGGCGGCTGATAGGGAGATCCGGGTGGACAAGGGCGAGTGGGCGAATGATAGCCACATTTACAATGCCATTGAGTTGCGTGTTTACAGCACAATTACAACTGTTAGCTTTTATGTGCGTCCAATAGACGAGCTAGCTAGCTTGTCCACGGGCCGCAATTTATGCTGCAGTTTTATGAGCGCGCTGAGAGGCCATCCCCGTGCCATGCCTTGCCAACTCATCGCCGAGAGAACCACACATACTTGTAGTACTCGTACTATACACAAAATAATTTTGCAGCAAGCGTATTTAAAAGCGACGTGCGTGGCATGGTGAATAATTTATTTAATGTCTACTTTTAGGCCCAAGGAACAATTGCTGTGGTTTTATTGCACTCGCACGCATCGGAAAGCACTTCGTCGGCGCTCCGATCCCAAAACAGTGCCTCAACAATCGTTGCAGGAATTTAAATGTGCTGCTTGATGGGGGAGCGGTTGAAGTCATGTTGGAAATTTATGAGTCGCAGCACCGCAGTATGACCATTAAAAGTTAAAGCACGGCCAAAACACGGCAATGTGGTAGGAGTTGAACATCTGAGGAGATGTATAGTGATGAAGTGGGTGGAAAAGGAAACGTTTTTGCAGTTTATAATGCTTAGCGAGGGGATGTGGTGGCTTTACGATTTATGAAAATTGATTCTCTCTGTCATAAACATTTTGAATGCTTCTTAATTTGGTCAACGTGGTACTTGGAGTGTATAATGAAAACTGTAATTTGCCGGTTTGTTAATTTCGGATTCAATGTATTTGCATTGAACTTTTCATTTTGTCATTATTTCTAAAAGTTTTTATGCTTTTCAATGCTTGGAATTGTGCAGCAAATATCTGGTAACTGAAAAAGGAATAACATTGAGCCGTAAAGGCATATTTTAAAAGAAATTTGTAAATTTTAAATCTAGATGATACTTTCAGCATATTGCATATTAAGCAAACATGTTTAAGAAATATTTAAATCATGAGTGGATTTTAATTTTATGAAAATGAAAAGCCATTTTCTCGCTTGGCTTAATAGATAGATCACAACAAATTAAAACGAACAAACTGGCCAACATTTACATATTGTGCCTTAAATAATTGATCGAGATTTGTTAAGTTTTGCAGCATAGGGATTACATTTGTAAAACGTTGTCTTAATTGGTATAAAACAAAGTCACCATTCGACTACTTAGCTTGTAACCACTATTTGATTGACAACATCTTGCCCCAAACATCATTTAAGTCCATTTACCTGTTAATTTATTTAGTCGCCCCTTCCGCTATCTCCCTTGTTCGCTTTGACCGACCGATTTCAAATCAAGTTGCATAATCTCGTTTACTACAATGAAATTTGTCATTGGCCACAAGCAATTATTGCTGCTCTTTAGCTCCAGGACACAAACCAAAGCTTGGCAATGATTACATTTGCATTGTTTGTTGACCGAATAATATTAACATTGATTTTGGCCATGTTTAACATGAACAACATGTACAAGAGCACCAGCAGTAACAACAACTAGAACAAAAGCAACACATGATTGCTGTGACCTACACTCTAAATTGTAGCTACAAGTCATTTCCATATTGCTAAACGTTGATTATAAATCGTATAAATGCCAATGCATCGCCGAATGATATTCCAACAATGCTGCCTGCCATCATGAATGACCTTCAGTTTCTGGTAAGAGCGCTCATCGCTAAATTGTATGAAGAGTACTCGTATGCTACGGCTCATCGAATCATATGCTATACATAAATATCAATGGAAAATGCGGCAACATTTCATTGAGCGTACATTCTTATTTTGCTGAATAAATTTATACGAGTCTGTGCTGCCAAGACTCCCTTAATGGCTATAAGCAAGGGATCGAACTGAAAATGGCGGCAACTACGATTTCATGTGCATATATCAGAGCTATAAGATGTACATCGAATAATTTTGCATCAGGTGAGACTACTGGGGGCAAGAACCAAAATATTTGTGTGCTGCTTACCCTTGGCTTAGCTCTTGGTAATTGACTTGCATTGTAAATGGGGCACAAGTAGCGCTTAATAACAGGCCGGGCAAACAAATCAGGCAGCCAACTAAGCTGTCTGGGTCTAACAATTTAGGATGCATATTCAGAACACAAGCCAGCATACACTCACACAAATGTGCCTTACACATTTTTATAAGAGCCCACTCGACACGCACTAAATCATTAAATAAATATAAGCCGGGTAGACAGAATAAAGTCAACACAGGCTGCATTCGGAAATAATGTAATACTTAGAAATACATTCAAGTAGTTCGCCAGCGTGTTGGCTGAAATGTCA